TATCTTCAGATTGAGAGGAAAAAAATGAAACAGAAATCTTTAATAGCCTTCTGCTTTCTTGTCTGGCTAGTCTTCCCTCATTTTCCCATGTATTAATTTCCTACCATGAATATTTTGCCTTGACTTCTCACACTATACATTCCATTAGGTTGAGAGACTTTAGAATACAGAAACTATTCTTTACTCATTCCTGTCTCCCTGGCCATCCTCACAGTAACTGGCATCAAAATAGTCATTACGAGTCTGAGAGGTTGATTTAATTCAGCATTCTAATCCACATCTCATCTGGTATTAGTTTTCCTGATTTTTATTGTTATATCTCAGCCATGTATAATATAATAATACTAAATATTATACCTGAAAGAGCAATTAGTCTATTTTCCCCCTTTGGAGTAATAGTGATTATTTCTATCACCATCTTCGGTCGACTGAAGGAAGGGGAGAAAATTACTAACAATCCCTCATATTTGTTCTTATATAACAACTGGCAGGATCTGTTGCTAGTGAATTCCTTATATCTATTCAGATGCAAATTCCTTGTATCTAGTCAGGCAAAAAAGCAGAAAACCTAGATAACTGAAAAACAAGAATACAATGGCTAGCCAAATCCATAGAACAAGTGGGCTAGGCACATAACTCCTCATTAGCTCTCTGTTGAGGACTAAATGTCTTAAGTCAAAATTTAAAAATCTGTCAGGATGACACCAACACTCAGTGAACAAATCCTGAATAGAATTGCCATGGTCATCTTAAATATGGATTACAGAGCATGCCTCCTTTTGACACCATCTCTATTTTCTTTACAGCTATCATTCTGTGGACTTTTTCCACCCAGTGAACTATTTGATATTCTCATTTGTAATGTCACCTCATCTTTGTAATGCCTACCTGTCCTTTAATGACTCCCTTTTAGGTATTAGTTCCTACTTCTATCCCAGTCATGCTTTTTACAAAGTCATTCATCACATGTTGCTGTGTGACCATGCCTTTTATATGGTGTTTTACCTACTATGCCTAGATTAGGACACCTCAAGTCATGTATTCCAGAATACTGTTAGAAATTTTTCACAGGATTCACAGGGCATCAACTCACTATGGGTTGGCTCAAAGTCACATGGTCGATTTCCATGGGAAGGAGTAGAAACAAATACCCCAAGGTGTAAACGGAATAAAGGAGACAATGCCCATTATTTCAGTGGTTCTAGAAAAGAGAAACAGAATTAGAGCACAAGATGAATATGACTCATATGCATGTGAAGTGGGGAAGAGGGGAATTACAGGAAAAGGAATAAAGAATCCCTGATACAAAAGGATATTTTTAAAAAATATATATTTTATTGATTTTTTTACAGAGAGGAAGGGAGAGAGATAGAGAGCTAGAAACATCTATGAGAGAGAAGCATTGATCAGCTGCACACCTCCTACTGGGGATGTGCCCACAACCAAGGTACATGCCCCTGCCCGGAATCGAACCTTTCAGTCCGCAGGCCGACGCTCCATCCACTGAGCCAAACCCATTATGGCAAAAGGATATTCTTAATAGAGTCTACTAGGAGAAGCTGGCTGATGATTCAGGTATAAGGATACCTCTGGCTACAACATTCCAGAATAACTTCCAGCAAGGACATCACGGAGTTTGCTATTATAGGTACCTTGTGGCTCTTACGTACTTCTCTATTATTTTTGGAGCAACTTATATAGTTTGGAGACTTAATACAAAGACCCATTGGTTGTCATTGTTCTGTAAGTGTGTGTGCATATGTGTGATGTATGTCTATAAACATTTTCTATTTCAGATCAGGGCTTGTGTGGGCAGTAGGATGCAGATGAACTTAGAGAGCTTAATGGCTATAATTGGGAAAGAGTAGAGGAAAAAGTCTATAAACATTTTCTATTTCAGATCAGGGCTTGTGTGAGCAGTAGGATGCAGATGAACTTAGAGAGCTTGATGGCTATAATTGGGAAAGAGTAGAGGAAAAAAAATGAGACCAGATTCTGACAGAAAAATTAAAGATACAAGGGAATGATGTTATAGGTACCGTAATTAAATTGGGGGTTTGAATACAGAGAAATAATTTTATGATTTGGAGTTTATAAAAGAGTCATGGATTGGAAAAAGGCTCAGTATGACACACTCTCATTTTTGCTCCCTTTTCAGAGTGCATCCTCAACCCACCATGGTAATTGTCAATAACACCACATCATCCTCTTCAACCTTCCTCCTCACTGCGTTCCCTGGGCTGGAAGTGGCTCACATCTGGATCTCTATCCCAGTCTGCTGCCTGTACACCATTGCCCTCTTGGGAAACAGCATGATCCTGTTTGTCATCATTGTTGAGCAGAGTCTCCACAAGCCCATGTACTATTTCCTCTCCATGCTGTCAGTTGTTGATCTAGGTCTGACCATTTCAACCCTCCCCACTGTGCTTGGGGTTCTTTGGTTTCATTCCGTGGAGATCAGCTTTAAAGCTTGCCGCATTCAAATGCTCTTTGTACATGGCTTCTCTCTCTTGGAGTCCTCGGTGCTGGAAGCCATGGCCTTTGACCGCTTCATGGCCATCTGTTACCCACTGAAGTATGCCACTGTCCTCACACACATGATGATCTTGGTGATTGGACTGGTCATCTGCCTACGACAAGTAATTTTCCTCTTTTCCATGGCTCTAGCCTTGAAGAGTGTTTCTTTCCACGGAGGCCAGGAGCTTTCCCACCCATTTTGCTACCATCCAGATGTGATCAAATACTCATATTCCAACCCCTGGATCAGCAGCTTTTTGGGCATGTTTCTTCAGCTCTACCTGTGCGGCACGGATTTATTGTTCATTCTTTTATCTTATGCCCTAATTCTCCGTACTGTCCGGAACATTGTAGCCCCCAAGAAGCAACAAAAAGCTCTCAGCACTTGTGTCTGTCACCTCTGTGCTGTCACTGTTTTTTACGTGCCAATGATCAGTTTGTCCTTTACGCACCGCCTCCTCAACTCCACCCCTAAGGTGGTCTGTAGCATTTTGGCCAATGTGTACTTGCTCTTACCACCTGTCCTGAACCCTGTAATTTATAGCTTGAAGACCAAGACCATCCGCCAGGCTGTGCTCCGGCTGCTCCAATCTAAAGGTTCACGGGGCTCCAATGTGAGGAGTCTTACAGGTGGGTAAAATTGAAGGGGAGAAATTGCTGGTCCATAAATCAGATTTAAGGAAAGGGATTTGGGTTCATCTCATCCTCAGGCATTTTGGTTACTGAGGCAGTTTCAATTAAATTCTTGGAACAGAAAGAAGAGAATAATTTTCCCCTAAGCTTATCAAAAAGTGTTTTAAAACCACTGCAATTCAAAACCAAATTATTTATGTATATGTTACTCAAATATTTAAAACCATTACATGGACTCCTGAGCACGTTAAAAGAACAATTAGATCATTTTATTTCAGCTGAACAATTTACTTATGCTTAAAAATGGTAATTCTTAAACAGAAAACAAATAAATGACAGTTTTAGTTTTTGCATTCAGTTGAACAAAATCATTTATTTTTGTAGTCAAATTTCCTAGGGGCAATACAGATTTTTATCTTGAGCTGGTAAATGAAAAAGTTACAGGTGTGTGCAAAGGCATGTACATAGAAATTTGTGATTTAAAACTGTAGGACATTGTTGCACACTTTTCAGAGCTCTGTTTCTTTACATATGCATTCCCTGAACCTCTATCTTTTCTTTAATCTGCAAAGGCATGTACATAGAAATTTGTGATTTAAAACTGGAGGACATTGTTGCACACTTTTCAGTTCCTAGAGTCACCTCTAGAGAGCTCTGTTTCTTTACAAATGCATTCCCTGAACCTCTATCTTTTCTTTAATCCCGTTTCTCCTTAGTAAAAGTGAAATTTTCAGTTTCAATCGCTCTTTATTAGACCTCCAATGAATTCAATATATGAGATCAATCATTGCCTTATTATTTTCCTCATTGCCTAGATATTCTAATACAGTTCTGATTCTGATTCCACAGTCCCTTTGCCCCAGGATTATACCTTTTATCTCTTCGCCCTGTTTCTTGGGTTGAGCTGTTAGGCTCCTCAAACTTTTACTGTTCTTGTCACTGTAGAATTTCATAGTGACTGATATTTTTTAATGGGGAATCTTCAAATGACCTTTATTTGTTTTGTGAAGAAGTAACTTCTGCATAGGGATGATAGGATGTTGGGAGAACTTTTCTTGCACACACCTAGTTATGAAACTCTGATAATTATTCTGATAATTGTTTCCTCGTGATAATTCATGTCTGAGCCCAAGGAACCAAGCAGATATTCTGATCTAAGACACTTGTCTCCGCCCCTACAACTTCTTACTCCTGGCCTACTGGGACTACCACTCCCAAACTCTGGTTTGTTTGGTTCAAGCTTTCTGTTCAATTCAAGTACTGAAAACTTTTTGACTCTGTCCAAACCACAAACCCCTTTTCTCTAATCATTAACTACAATATTACATATTATTTCTAATTAAAATGGTTTGTGTGATTTCCCTTTTACCCAAATTATTCAGGTACTTTTGATATATCCCTGGTGTTGTGTCCCATACACAAAAGTGTGTGGCAGAAGCCAGTATTTTAAGTGGAGACTAAGCAGTGCGGGATCATCCAGAAAATAGTGCAATTAGGAATAAAATTCAGTTTTTCAGAATTCAAGGCCAGCATCGCCACCAGAACGTCTCTTGGCATCATGCACTTTGTGGGAAGTCTTTGTATTCCATTATACCACAATTTTGTACTTCAAATTTCAGTTCTTCATTCTCATATCACTGCCAAATAAATGTTTGTTTGGTTCTATCCCCCTCAACAGGATAAAACATGACTACTATGCAAAGTTCAAGAGTCACAAGATGCATCTGATTTCTAGATATCTTGTTCCAGAGCACAAATTAAGGACAGAAAACATTTTCTTAGTCACACTGTCCCTTAGTAAGCCCAGAATAAAACAAACTAGAGAAAAGAGACTTCAGAGAATTTGTAAATTTAGATGAGAATTTTGGATATGTGATTTAGCTAAGAATTAGAGGCATGGGGATGGAGAGGAGAGAACTGTCACAGAAGAGAGCATGTTAGAAGTGCTAGATTAGGTGACATGGTATTCTCTGAGGAGTTTAGGGGATGATATAAAATGCCAAATATTTCTCAATATTCATGATTATAAGCGCAGGCCTTGCTATGCTTAGAGAAGGGAAAGGACTTGTACAGAAGCCAAGAATGGCCAGTGGAGATGAACTAGGAAATAGGAGAGAAGAGAACATCACACAACAATGGAGACTGATCCTGAAATCAATCTGTGTGAGTAGAAATCCCACACCACACTCTGATCTAACCAGCCAAACTTGACCTCATCAGTTCTTACAAATATCAATGGCTCCTTAATTGCTCCTTTGGAAGACCTTTGTAAAAGTTTTGTTTGTTTGTTTGTTTTAAGATCCACAGCTATTCACAATTTATAAATTTAAAAACATCTGGAAAAACACTTAAATTTTTTTCTTAAGTTTGTTGCTAAAACTTATCGGCAGCAAAAGCTAACATAAACTGATGTGAATATAATTATGGTCATTATTTATTCACTATTGAGTGAATATTCACACTTTCACTTCAGAAATATAGCTGTGTTTGAATATTGAGCAATGCCTCAAGGGTTGTAGTGTCTTTTTAAAGTATGAAAAATTATAAGATAAAAAATTGTAGAAATGTGTAATCATTCTTCCAATTTTGTGATAATCAATGTATAAAGTAATCTGCAGTATGTATGTTAATCTTTCATTGTTCTAAATAATACTTTTCACATCAGTCTCAAAATGCAACTCACTTGCTCAAAACAAAAACATTTTCTATAGTAATTGTTAATAGAACATGAATTTGTCCTTTATTGTCATTTCAAGGAATGTATTTAATATGTTTAGAGGCTGTTCTAATTGCTAATGTCACATATATACATATATAATTATCCATATATATGCAGGTTGGGGCAAAAGTAGGTTTACATTTGTTTGTATGGAAAATAATACAATAATTACTAATAATACAAGAATAAACTGCGCTTTGTGTACTCACAACTGTAAACCTACCTTTGCCTCATCCTGTATTGTATTTCATTAAATTTTTGTGAATATATTGAGAAACTGAGAAAAGTATTAAAAACTTTCAAAAATTACTCATAATCCTATTGAGAGATTACATAAAATGTGATATAATCTTTTTATTAAGCCAATACTTATGCATATACATATATATTTACAAATTAGGATAATAGTGAATACTCAAATGTATATTTTATTTATTTAAAAATTATTTTTGTATTTAATTATTAATTTATTTTAGTTTATTTTTGTGTGGATAAAAGATCAGACACAAACATGGTTTTTAAAATAGGTTGTAATTTTTTTCTACCAGTATTATTTGAATAATCAATTTATTTTCAACATTGTTTGATATTCCTTAAATATATGTTATTTCATATTATACATAGTACATCGTGGTGTGTTTGATCTATTTCTTTGTTTTTCCTATTGATTTGTTGAGCAAACTACTCACAATTTTATACTGTTTAATAAATGTTACTATCATATAAAATTTATTATAGTTTTTATCTTTTTAAATTTTATATTCTCCAGTTTACTCTTGTAAATCTAGTTTTAGAATTATTTTAGTAAGTTCTCAATAAAATGTTACTGGAAGCTTGGTTGAAAAATGCATTAAACCTATATTATAATTGAAGATAACAAATAAGCTTTAGCCTCTTCACTCTTCTGATCCAGAAATAACATCTATTGACATCTTCAGATGTGGACTGTTTCTGGCTTGTAAAGATTTGAACTTCTGAATTGAGGACAAATACTAGAAGGAAGATTAGTATTCTTCTATATTTCTTTCATGACAACCTGTTTGCTCTTTTTGTTTGTTTTTTTGTACATAAATAGGACATGAACTGTTTTTCAGGGCAGCTCTTTTGACTTAAAGTCTATTAATTACTTCCTACTAATTTTGGCAATAGTTTTCTATCATTCCAAATGTTCTGCATGCTTATAATTTATCATCATATTCTGAATTGTCAAAGGCTTTTTGTTGTTTTTACTATGTTTTTCCCGAAACAAGTTGGAAAATGGGTCATTGATAGACACTGTACAAGTACTGGAGACATGCCAACACACTTGATGTGTACAGTTCTTTTGAAAAAACAGAGTGCATGTAAGAGAGACCGACATGTGAACTCCCAATTAGAGCACAATCTGAAACAACCTGGGAGGAGGTGCAAAAGATTGTCCCTTCCTTTCCGGATTGGGCTATGGGTTCTAGACATGGTCAGTTATTGAACAATAAAAACTCAGTTGAACTCACCTGGAGACACAAAATGTATAAGAATATTTATTAATCAGAGAACGTCTTCAAAATAATTTTTAAATGGAAATAATATTATTTGTGAGTTCACCTTAGATAGTAAAACATTGAAATTTATTACCAGTTGTTTTCTCCTAATTCACAATACACATTTAAAAGGGTTGATTGACTTATTCTAAAGTTTATGTTTTATACCTTTGTCTGCTCTGAACTACTTACAAATAACATATGAATAAGAAACAGATAAACTTTATAGAAAATCATTGGAGATAGCCATTCATCTTCAGTTTGCTATTTATCTTTTTATAATAGAACCATATATTCATGAATACAGTTTCATATTATCATATTTTCCCCTATTTTAAAATAATTTCTAGCTTGTTTAGTGTAATTGAAAATATCATAATTCAAAATAACAAGTACCTGAACAAGCACGAGAGCCATTATTTTAGAACATATATTTTAGAGTGGTTAATCAATAACATCAATGCTTTAACATATTCTGTACTGTTAGCTTTCCTATTTATCTCCAGTGGTGAAGTAGTCCCTCTGTGCCCCTTTTAGTAACTATACCTTTTTGGAACTCTGTTGTATACAGAAAAAAAGATGGTCTGTTGTAAAGAGGGAGTTTATTTGTCATAATTCAAATGGGAACCACCGGTGATATGCCAACATTTGATTATTAAGGAAAGAGCAAAGAAAGAAAATCTTAAACCAACTCATACTTGATAACAAACTTCTTTTACGTAAATGGGAGATCAAGAATTTGCATTAAATTGACTTCAGACCCCTCAACAAATACAACATATCTGAAGACTGCCTGAAAGAAAATCAGTAACTGGTTTGCTCCTTTCATATTCATTCTCTATAAAGGTGTACAATCTTTACTTCCAAGTATGTTTATCCTTATGCTGTAAGCATTGTATCTAAGATTCCATATCAGTGTGCTAATTCATGATTTTAATGATATTGCAGATATACCTGTCAATGCCCAGATCAATCCCAAGTTCACAGATCTCAGTGCCCAGTCCATGTATTGTGCTGATTGTAAGAATGATTAAGAAACATAAGAATAAATCATCCATAATACTTTTTTAGAAAGGTATTATTTTAGTCCCTGATCCTGGCTGACCCTGCCTCATTTTCCCCCATACCTTTATTTTATACCAAATTTCCCTAGAATCTTCTCACGAATTTGCCGTGTTTTTACACAGTATACAATGGGGTTCATCAGAGGTGGCACCAGCAAGAAGATATCAGCAGCGAGGATCGTGGCACTTTGGGACTTGTGTTTGCCAAAGCGGTGCATAAAGGCCAAAGCAGTGATGGGCACGTAGAAGATGAGCACAGCACAGATGTGGGAGACGCAGGTGTTGAGGGCTTTGAGCCGTTCCTTATGGGATCCAATTCCCATCACGGTCTTCAGGATGAAGACGTATGACACAGCAATGAACACACTGTCTAACATCATGCAGAGGGCAACAAAAAAACCATAGAAAAAGTCAATTGTGTTGTCAGAGCAAGCCAGGTTCATGACATCCTGATGGAGACAATAGGAGTGAGAGAGCAGGTGTTTCTTACAATATGTCAAGCTTTTGAGAGCGAAAGGAAAGGGGAGCACTAAGAGCAGGCTTTTTAGGAAAAACACCAAGCACAGCTTAGCAACTCTGGCATTGGTGAGGATAGAGCTGTATCTCAGAGGGTTGCGTATGGCCAGAAAGCGGTCAAAAGACATAACCAGGAGCACTGAGGACTCCATATCCATGAATCCATGGATAAGGAATTCTTGAGCAAAGCAGGCATCTGGGGAAATTCCGGTAGCATTGAAAGCAAAGGTCCTCAGCATAGTGGGGAGGGATGAGAGGGACAGGCCCAGGTCAGAGATAGCCAACATGGAGAGGAAATAGTACATGGGTGCATGGAGCGAGGGTTCTGTCCTGATCACAAAGAGGATGCCACAGTTGCCGAGGATGGCCACCAGGTACATGAGGCAGATGGGAATAGAGATCCATACATGAGCATGCTCCAGTCCTGGGATTCCAATCAGAAAGAAGGTGGGGATCTCAGTGTTAGAGGAATTGATAATGTGCATGATAAATCAGTTGGAAAATATTTCCAGAGCTGAAAGGACACTTTCAACATGAATCTATTATGCTCATCTCACCTCCTTTCAGCACTTTTGTCTGAGACATAAACAAAAAAATACAATTTTGAGACATTTCTCATATTAAAGAATAAGAATGAGATATTTCTTCTAAACAGACAATTAATAATAGAGACAGATAATGTTAATTGACAAAGACAACCAGAAATGTAAGTAGTGTCTTGATCAATCACACTTCTCCACAAGGTCCTCAGAAAAAAAATACCCACATAAAAATAAATTCTCCCTTTACTATTAGGCTTTCCCCCTCCCTATCCCCAATCCAATGAAAAAGTTATACAAGGTAATTCTTTTTGCTTGGTTCAGAGTGAGATTAGAATTTAAAAAAAAAAAAAGCCCTAGCTGGTTTTGCTCAGTGGATAGAGCTTCGGCCTGCAGACTGAAGGGTTCCAGGTTTGAGTCCTATCAAGGGCACATGTCTGGGTTGTGGGCTTGATCTCCAGTGGGGGGCATGCAAGAGGCGTCCAATCAATGATTCTCTCTCATCATTGATGTTTCTATCTCTCTCTCCCGCTTCCTTCCTTTCTGAAATCAATAAAAAAAAATACAAACAAACAAAACATACTGTAAAAGCAATTAAAAAAAAGCCAACTGCAGGAATTAGATTTTAAGAGAGCCAATAATAAATGGTTTTTCCAATTTCTAGAGGTTTTTGCTCCAAACAATTTTCAGGCCAAGCCTGGAGCTTCCAAAGGTGATTTTACTCACAATTTCTCCACAGGAAGCAGCACCAAGAAAGGACAGAAAGTAGGCCATGTGAGCTTCACTGTTAACCCTCTCCTTAAGTACAGTGAAAAATCCCACGTTTTTGTAAGCAGACAGAATGTTCTTAAAAATGACTATCAATAGCAGTAGTGCTCTCTATCCTTGAGCATGGGAGGAGAGAAGGGGTTCTTGAACTCTGTCTACAGTCTAACACAGACTATCATCATGTGGTTTAGTCAACTGGACTGTTGGTGATGAGGGAGATTGGTATTCTCTAAATCATTTTTCTTTTTTTTTTAAAAAAAAATATTTTATTGATTTTTTACAGAGAGGAAGAGAGAGGGATAGAGAGTTAGAAACATTGATGAGAGAGAAACATCGATCAGCTGCCTCCTGCACACCTCCTACTGGGGATGTGCTCGCAACCAAGGTACATGCCCTTGGCCGGAATCAAACCTGGGACCTTTCAGTCCGCAGGCTGACGCTCTATCCACTGAGCCAAACCGGTTAGGGCAATCAGTTTTCTTTTGACACCATAAAATAAATAGATGTTCTATAACTATAGAACTTTTTTCACGGACAACTGAGTTAACTACGTACCTTTGAGAGGTTTCTCTTTGTGGAATTAAGTTCATCATGAACAATATGGTTCTAAGATACATAAAGCATACCAGTTTCTACCGCTTTTGGCTAGAGAAAGTGGGGGTTTAATTGAGAGGCTCAGCTTTGTCAGATGACTGTTGACAACAGTATTAGGAATTAGAAATCCAGCTTTTCAGCTAGTTCATCCTCTAGAATGAGACATTAATGAGTAGTCATTAAGGACCAATGTTCTTCTAGGAGCCTGAACTGCCTTCCCAAAAGGATAAAGCAGTGGTTAAGTCATGATCTGGGTATTGGCCACTCTCTCACCTCTATACTCCCCAGCATGCAAGCATGAAGAGGTCTTTTAAAAGTGTTACAAGTTCTTTAGCAACTCTAATCAGGCCAGATCAGGAGTTGCTTGCTCCTTGAAGTCTTCATCCTGATCACACCAAGCAGAATTTATGTACTTCTACAATAACTTTTATCTCTTTTACTCAATGCATCTGAAATTGTCCTTTGGCTTGTTATTTACTTCTCTGTCTTCCACAGTAGCCAGTAAGTTCATTAAGATCCATTTGTGTCTTAATGTTAATGATCTTGATTAGGGGGTGAGGGGACATCCCACACAACATTAAGCAATTGTCAGAACACCACCAGGTGTTGTAAATTGCATGGTGGTATTCTGGTAATTGCTTGGTGCTGTGTGGAAAGTCCCCTCCCCACTAATACATGTTGGAATTGGGTCTCAGAATAGAAATCAATTCAGTTTAATAAAATCCAATTAATAGTGATTGAATGTGTTCTATTTGTCAGGAAATGTGCTCAGTGTTGCTAATATCAATAGCTAAGATTTGGAAACAGCCTAAGTTCCCATCAGCAGATGAGTGTATGAAAAATATTATGTTACATTTACACAATGGAATACTACGCAGTAATAAAAAAGGAAGACTCTTACCATTTGCAACAGCATGGATGGACCAGGAAAGTATTATGCTGAGTGAAATAAGCCAGTCAGAGAAAGGTAAGTATCACATGATCTCACATATGTGGACTCTAATGAACCAAATACACTGAGACATAGAAACATGAACAGACTGTTGAACCTCAGAAGGAAGGCAGGGGAGGGTAGGGGGGAAGAAATCTACCAATGAACTTGTATGCATATATGCATAACCAGTAGACACAGACAATAGGGTGGTGAGGGCCTGGCAGGGGAGGAGGAATGGGAGCAAGGATAATGGGGGGAAAAGGAGGACCTATGTAATACTTTCAATAATGAAGATTTTTTTAAAAAGAGAATACCACCAGGGTGACATAAAATTATTCACCTCAATTCTGATACTATCTAATTTGAAATAGCATCATATTATACAGATTAAGGGCTCAGTCCTACAACATAAGCCCCTTCCCTAACGTCAGCTGCCAATCAAAAGTCCAGGTTATCAATTGTGTTTCTGATCAATTGGCTACAGATTGTAGGGTTCCACCACCCCGTCCTTGGACTTCATATGCAAATCACAAATCTGGGTTGTTTTCTGTACTTATGGCCAACTGGCTATCCTAGTAAATGAGAAGTTCCCAAGACCCCCAACATGGGTTTGATTTATTTGCTAGAATGGCTCACAGAACAAAGGAAGCCCATTGACACACTAGAGTATTAGTGTGTTATGAAAGGATAGATGCCATAGACCAATTCCAGCATGTCATAATTTTAAGAGTTTCATCAAAAGATTGATGAGACTTGGGGACTCAACAGGGTTGAGTCACACATAGTCACCTGCTGGGAATGGCTAATGGCATTTCCGCCAAACCTCAATAGGAAACTGATTGTGGCTGCCAGACAGTTAAAGGGCATCTTAATCTACATGTTATTGCCTCCTACTGGCCAAACACCTGAACAGCCTTAAGCTATTCCCCAAACTGACAATGCTTCTGTCCCCTTTGAAACCTTACCCTTTGAAATGTATTATCTGCACCTTGCCTTAGGACAAATTGTGTTAATAAAAGCAAGGGTCCTAGACAAGGAGGGAGTCTTCAGTTCCTTTAGCTGAAGGTCCTCTGACCCCCAATGCCTTTCAAAATTATATCTCATCTCCTGACTCTTTATTAGTCTCTGGATTTCTATGTCATCTGCGCACAGCCCCTTTTCCAGATTCCTGAACCCTTCTTGATGCTGGGACATGAATCCCGGCAGATATAACTTAGGAACAGCCAGATGTAAGAGATGCATAGGGCACGGTCTGAAGAAAGCACCCAGAGGTTCCATGCATCCCTGAGCATGCCATTCTCCTCTGCATCTCCATGTGTTCATCTTCATGTGTTTAGCAACCTGAAAGTTCTCCAAATCCTGTCCTTTTAGGCATAATTGATGATTCATTAGCCATTGACAATTGATTCAATCAACTGCCCTTTCCTCTCCCTGGAGGTCAGAGGTCAGGAGTGGGACTGAAAGTTCCAACCCTCTAGTCCTATGGTTGGTTCTCCTGGCAACCAGCCTCCAGTCTCAGATGAGGTCCAAAAGTCACCTCATTAACATGATAAAAGACATCTTTATTGCTCCCATCACTTAGGAAATTCCAAAAGAGTCCTGTGCTAGGAACAGGGATG